TCGCTTCTCAGAACTGAAGCAGATTCTTAGATGAGAAGCCAAACATTTTCAAGGAAAACAAAGAATGTCCAGTTGCCTCTTGAAAAAAGCACCTTTGGGACGGCCATTTTGAATGTGACATCAGTTTGATGGGCTGCTGCATTTTCGGTGAAATCCAACATGGCTGTGAATGGCATACAGGGAAGCTCTGAGATATTCGATTATTTTTGTTTCTTGCTCCAGATGCTCTAGCCTTCACCGGATCCACAGTGAAAGTGAGGTGATCCAGCAGAGCGGCCAGCTCCTTCAGTCGTATCTGACTGACCTACTGAACACCATCACCAGGTCTGCCAAGATATGCCCTCCTGTCATCCGTGCCACTTTTCAGCTCCTTTTCAAGAGAGTTGGAGAACGGTTCTCCGAGGAGAAAAATCAGGTCAGTGGGGCGGAGTTAGATTTTTTAAACTCAGGGGTGTCAAACTCCATTTCATTGAGGGCTGCGTCAGGGTTGTGTTTGACCTGGGCGGGGGGCAGAGGGGGCATGGCCAGCTAGACGTCACTCATATCGGGGGTGCCTGTGTTTTTAGAGCTGTGCGCATGCACGCGTGCTCACATTTTCCAGAGGAATTTTGCAGGATTAGCCAGGATTGGGTCTTGTGATGTCCAATTAGCTTCGAGACAGAGTTAAAATTGAAGCCACACCTCTGTGCTCCCTGCTTCTGGTTCCCAGTTTCAACTCTGTCTGGCCGAAGAAAGAAAAGTTGCTTTTGGTTCCTGATTCTTCCAAAAAGCCATTCCACCGAACCACTTTCGGGTGTTTTCAGTCATCAAGAGCAAGGATAAGCACTCTCTCATGTGGCAGGCGATCCTACACCTCCTAGAGATTAGGGCGGTGGAACTGGTTCCACTGGACCAAGTGGGGTCAGATTTCTATTCTAACCTCTTTGTCATTCCGAAGACTTCGGGGGGATGGAGGGCGATTCTGGATCTAAAACTACTAAATTTTCACTTAGTCTATAGGAGATTCAAGATGGCATCCCTTAAATCCATCTTTGTGTGGGTCAGGCGTAATACTTCATGGCCTCCATTGACCTGACAGAGGCTTACCTCCATATCCCCATCTTCCCTGGCCATCGTAAGTATCTCAGATTCTCCTATTTGGGTAGGCACTATCAGTATAGGGCCCTACCATTTGGCTTGGCTTCGGCACCTCGGACCTTCACCAAGGTCCTGGCCGTAGTGGCGGCTTCCCTCCGTGAGCGCTCTGTCAGAGTCCATTGCTATCTTGATGACAGTCCAAGCAGCATTGTTTGAGCGGGCGAGGGAGGATATTTCGTTGGTGGTATCCACACTACAGCAGTTAGTTTGTTAGCCTTAGTTAGACAAGTTAGAAGTCAGCTTTTTGTTCCTGTGGTGGTGCTCTCCAGCTTGCTGGGGAAATTCAATTCTTCCATAGACGTGGTGCCTTGGGCTCGTCTGCACGCAAGGCCGCTCCAGTGGCGTCTCCTGTCGCATCAGAAATCTAACTCCAGCAATTCCGAGGAAAAGGTTCCAGTGACACCACAGGTGCAGTTGTCATTGAGGTGGTGCTACATGAGGGCTGCAAGTTCAGGGAGGTGGAGCACCTCATCCTGACAATAGACACCAGCTTGCATGGGTGGGGAGCTCTCTTGGAGTCCCGGATGGCGCAGGGGCGTTGGACCTGGTTGGACCTCCAACACAATATAAATAGGCTGGAACTTCGAGTGATTCCCTTGGCATTGTGGCACTTCAAGGACCATCTTCAGGATCGAGACGTCTTGGTGCTGACTGACAACGTGGCGGCGAAGGCCCACGTCAACCGACAGGGTGGCACACACTCCAGGGCTCTTTGAACTGAGGCGATGGCACTCAGCGCCTGGGCGGAGAGGCATCTTCGATTGCTCAGGGCGGAGCACATCACAGGAGTGAACAATCATCAAGCTGACTGGCTCAGTCGGTCCACGGTCAACCACGGGGAGTGGAGCCTTTCTCCGAACCTATTCCAGGCCATCTGCTCCAGGTTCGGCCATCCAGAGGTGGACCTGTTTGCCACACCACAGAATGCTCAGGTGGATCGGTTCTTCTCTTGGTTCCTGGCTCGGGGAATGGAAGGAGTCGACGCGCTTTGGATTCCGTGGCTGGATGGCCTGCTCTATGCCTTCCCTCCCCTTCCCCTTCTCCCTGGGGTAGTTTGGAAAGTGATATCAGAGAGGGTGGAGCTCATCTTAGTGGTGCCCTACTGGCCGCGCCAGGCGTGGTTTGCGGACCTAATGTGCCTGTCAGTGTCACACCCATGGAGGATCCCGGGGAGGGATGTGGACTTTAGACAGGAGAACCTGGTGCATCCCGAGCCACAGTGGCTGCAGTTAGCCGTGTGGAGATTGAGTGGGAGCGCCTGAGGGCCGCTCATCTTTCACAGAGGGTGATCTCCACAATTGAGGCTTCACGCAAGGGTTCCACACTAGGATTTATGATTCCACCTGGCGGATCTTTGCAGAGTGGTGCCGGGTCTCGGGAGCAAATCCCCGCGAGGCTTAGGTATCGCACGTCTTGGAGTTCCTCCAAGATGAACTGGATAGGTGGCTCTCACATGGCACCCTCAGGAGACAGGTGGTGGCCGTCTCCACGATCATTTGGGGAGAGGGGCTCTTTCCACTTTCCCAAGTTCCGCTAATTAAGAAGTTCCTGAAGGGTGTGGGGAATCTCCATCCCCCAGTAGTCCACAGGTTTCCAACATGGAGCCTCACTACGGTTCTCCAAGCAATGACAGGAGCACCATTCGAACCTCCGAGGATGGTTAACCTGAAGTTCGTAACCCTTAAGATAGTGTTCCTTGTGGCGGTCACCTCGACCCGTCGCATCTCTGAACTGGGAGTGTTGTCCTCCAGGTCGGATCTTTGTACTTTCCACAATAATCGAGTCATCCTGTGACTGGATCCAACCTTTATTCCCAAGGTTAATTCCCTTTTCCACAGATCACAGGAGGTGGTATTACCAGATTTTTGTCTGGAACCGTTTGAAGCGCTCTTCATTTCCTTTTATCCGTCTTCCCTGGGGAAGAGGGTGTCCTCCTCAGCTATAGGGAGGTGGATCAAACTGGCCATCTCTTTGGCCTATGGGGTTCAGCACCTCCTGGTGCCCCAGGCCATCACAGCACACTCCACCAGGAGTGCGGCTACCTCGGCGGCCTGGGCCACAACAGGCGCCTATCGTGGAGATTTGCAGGTCGGCCATGTGGGCATCCCCGTTTCCCTTTATCAGGCACTACAGGTTAGACGCGTTTGCATTGGCTGATGTGGAATTTGATCGTAGAGTGTGACAACAGGTGGTAGCGCATGAGGAGCCCAGGACCAATAGTGCTCCCCCCCCCCCGAGGGACGTTAATTTGGGTATGTCCCAATCCTGGCTAATCCTGCAAAATTCCTCTGAAAAATGACAGTTGGTCTTACCTGAACTATTGTTTTAGGAGGTTTTGCAGGATTAGCCAGGTTCCCACCCTAGCGTTGGTCCAGAGGTTGGGGAGTTCAGGGGGTAGGGTGTGTTCCCTTATAACTTGTTTTCAGGTGTTTTGAAGTAGTCTTGACTCGTTGAAACTGGGAACCAGAAGCAAGGAGCACAGAGGTGTGGCTTCAATCTTAACTCTGTCTCGAGGCCAATTGGACATCACAATACCCAATCCTGGCCAATCCTGTAAAACCTCCTAAAACAACCGTTCAGGTAAGACCAACTATCATTTTTGGTGTTCGGCAAACTGGTTGTTACATTATGGAACGCCCACCTCTGGTTGCAGGTGGCCGTAGCAGCCGAAAACTGAGCTCGGGAGCCCGTTTTCACTGGCAGAAGCACCGCGGGCCAGTCCTTTGCTGTTTGCAGGGTGGCCTCACAGGCCAGACCTAAGTACCCCGTGGGCTGGATCCGGCCCCCGGGCCTTGAGTTTGACACCCATGTTGTAACTCATTTCGCTCCCCTTCCAGTAATGTGGGATTATAATTTTGTAAACTCTTGGTAATTCTTTTGTGATTACAAATTCTTTTGTAAATCTTCCGCTTCTTTGTCAGATAAGGCAACTTGTGAGATCTTGTGGGAAGAAAAGGGGCAGGATTTTACAATCCCATCCATCAGGGATTTGAATGTGTTTCTAACCAATATCCTAAGAAAGTTTTTATTTCTAATGTTCTTATCTTAGTCTTACCACTCTCCTCTCCTCCGAGATCACAAAGGGGAGATTCGGTATTGCCTGTCAGATTGTTTTTGTCCTTGGTCTCTTCCCATCCCCTGTCAAAAACTCTTTATGCTTCTGAACTTGCAGAATGTGAAATTCATTGCCATCACCAGCTTCCTCTGCCTTCGATTCTTCTCTCCAGCCATTATGTCTCCCAAACTCTTCCACCTACGGGAGAAGCACGCCGATGCTCACATCAGCCGGGCTCTGCTTCTGCTGGCTAAGGTAAGACCTGTCCCAGGAGAAATGCTCTTAATAGCCTGATGATGTCTAAAACGGGTCCTTCTTTTGACCCTTCTCTTTTCCAGTTTCTTATTTCATC